AAGTGTCTGCTTATGACTAACATGTAGATTAAGTTTTCACTTTACTTATCTATTTCTTTTTTGTTTGTTTTCTATAGGTGAATCTACCCCTGGCTGACTTTAGAATTCTTCTGGCTTTTAATTTTTTTCTTTTTAAAATAAGACGGATAAAAGATGTGCCATGGCAGGATAGCACCAAAGAGTACCGCAGCGTCTGCCGTGGCCTCAGTGGGACATGGAGTGTTCCTTCCGCTGGTGATCCTTAGCACCCTCCTTGGGGACGGACTTGCCTCAGGTGAGTTTCGGCCTGCCTTCTGTCTGTGGGAGGGCAAAGACTCAATACCATTGTTTCTCTGGAAAGCTGGGATGGGGATTCTCCATGGGGGGCAGTTACAGGAAGAACAGGGTGGGGGGGTGCTTTTGTGCTGTGGTGTAGCAGGGAGCTAGTTCTATGAGTATGGCACCAAAGGACTTAATGAGTCAGATGGAGGATGGGTGTGTAGAAACCTCAGCCACAGTCATCAGGCAGGACAGAGGTGTGAGCTTCAGAGCATGATGTGTAGCTAAGGGTGCAGGCTTTGGAATCTGACTGCCTGTGTTCAGAGCCCAGTCCTATTACTTGCCGGCTCTGTGACCCTGAGTAAGTCTCTTTACTTCTGTAAGCTGTAAGCCTCAGTTTCTTCAGGTGCAGGATGGGAAAATAATAGTACCTACCTTGTAGGGTGGGCATGAAGATTGACTGAGATGAAACAATAGCACTTATTGATTGTTAGCTCTTTTTTGGTTCTTGTCTTGCTATTTTTCTCAGAATGAGTACGGAGTTAAGGTATTGTAATCTAGTGAAGCAGGACCTAGGCACTTAGACTACAAACTTTGTGATCTTGGACAAGCCACTTAACCATTCTGTGGCTCAGTTTCTGCATCTGTCTAATGAAGGGATTAATCTGGATAACCTTTAAGGCCACATCTAGCTCCCTCAGTCTATACTTTCATGAATCTAAGGACTTTCTGCTTGAAGGTTGTCAGCTGGAAGAGCCCTAGCAGGAGCTACAGCCCTAGCAGGAGCTACAGATGCAGCAATGCGCCCTTTTGAGTTTGTATAGTCCTTATTGCCTTCAGTAGTGCTCTGCAGACTCTTCTAGTTTCTTTTCATGTGGTCCTCTAGACCTAGTGTCCCTTTCAGAAAGACATATTTGGGTGTGTACCATAGGCCTCTGAGTTATGCTACAGAACCTTCCTCTGTATCTGCAAGTACCGGTAGGGGTCTTATTCAGTTATGATTAAGCTCACTAGTAATGATACTCCTACCAGAGTCTCAGGAGAGGGATCTCAGCTAGATTCTGGAAGGGCACTTGGAGGGAGTCTGGTGTAATATAGTGTGGTTTTAAGAGTCTCTACAGCTCAGTGTTATCTCTTTCATTTCCTTTCTATTAACTCCCACCACCCGTTTACCCAACACCTACAGATAATGGTGCAATCTCATTGAGTCTTATTTTTTTCTTCTGAATTGTTGGGAGAAACAATTACTGGGGTTTTTTTTGTGGGGTTTTTTTTGTTTGTTTTTGTTCCATTATAGCCTTCCTTACAACCCACATACAGATTTTCTCTTCTGCTGCCTCTCATTCACCTCATTCTGACACTTAACCCAAACCTTTCCCATAAACCTGAAACTTCCTTGGCTGTGAGGAACCCAAGGGGGCCACTGATGGTTAGGACCTCACAGTGCGAGCATCATGGTTATAAGAGGTTTCAGAGAAAAAGAAGGCCAGCCTACACCATTTGCAACAAAACGAAGCAGGGCCTAACATTCATAGGGCCACTCCAAAGCCGGAGGAGGCCTCTAGAAGTGATAGTCACAGAACCATAGAATATGGAGACCCTCTCTTGTTCACCACTGTATCTCTAGAGCAGAAGTGGGCAAACTGTGGTCTGCTGGCCATATCCTCAGTGCTGTCTGCTTTCATACAGCCTGCAAGCTGAGAATGGTTTTTATATTTTTAAGTAGTTGAAAAAAAATCAAAAGAATAATATATTTTATATTATGTAAAAATTATATGAAACTTACATTTCAGTATCCATAAAGTTTTATTGGAACATAGCAATGTTCATTTGTGTATATATTGTCTATGGCTGCTTTTGTGCTACAGTGGCAGAGTTGAGTGGTTGTGACATAGATCACGTGGCCCCAAAGCCTAAAATATTTAGCCTTTAAAATATTTTGTCCTTCACAGAAGAGGTCTGCCACCCTACCCCAGCCCAGAACAAATGATGCTCAATAAGTATGTGCATGAATGGAATAACTGTCAGAGCAGGAAGGAAGGACTAGTCAGAGCTAGGATGGACTTAAGAGGTTGTACACTTGCTCAGGGTCCTAGGGCCAGGACCAGAACCTGGCCTAGTGCTTGGTGTACTGCTACGACTGTCCTCTTCCAAGGCTCCTCTGGGGCAGCTGCCAGACCCTATAGACAGCTTCTGGGCTTATTACCAGTATTAGGGTCTGCCTTCTGTGTCTGAAGTCTTTATTTCTTAACTTAACTTCATTAAGCCATGCCCCCTATCACCACCTTCCTTTTTATGGGCTTCACCCCTGCCTCCTCTCATTTTCCAACTACCCACACCTTCCCAAGTTTCCATCCAAAGTCTGAAACCAATTATCAGGGACTGATGTTTCCAAACTGGCTGGATAAAGGGATTATTATTCTACCATGTGGAAAAATATATGTCTGTAGTGTGGGCTCAGCCCAGGATGGGAAAGTTGGCTGCTGTTTTCTTTTGCTCCCCCATCTGCAAAGAATCCTCACTTCCCTGCTACCCCACCTTCCAAGACTTTCTACTCCCCATAAAACATGTGTACTGGCTGGCACAGAGCAGGGTGCAGGCAGGGGAAGGGGTTTCACCATTACTTATATCCAGTGTGTACCAAGTTGCTGCCAGTGTTTTTCCCTTTCTCTGGAGTGGCTTCTAAGGAAGGAGGCACCTACTCCTTGGCCTGAAACCCAGAGCACACCTGTACGGCTGTGCCTGCCATGTGCAGTGTGCCAGGCAAGCTTGCCAAGAAACCAAGATTCTCAGATACTCAAGTCAAGGAAAGGCAGTTCAGTTCAGGAAAGGTCTGCTCTTTCTCTTCCTGTATTTCTTACCTGTAGCTGCCCCAGAACACCCATTCCAGAGGCATTTAAAAATGAGGTGCTTGTAAAATACATAGCCTTGTCATCCAGTGGGATCTAGTAGACCCTGAATATGTTTGTGTGTACATGCACATTCCTGACTGTGAGAATTTCTCTAGATATAGATAAGTGGGCATATTTGGGGAGAATTTCTCTAGATATAGATAAGTGGGCATATTTATCTATAAGGTCACTGTTCATAAATACCACTGTCATCCCTAGTCTTGGTGATAATTGCTCAGGTTAGAGGAAAAGAATCATGTATGAAAAGGCACTGAGGGTTCTGGAATAAAGTTATGTCATGTTTGGGGTTCAGTTTTCCATCCTGAACCCCAAACATGACATAACTTTAGTTTCTCCTGTCTATAGCTAGAGATTCTTTTTTATTAACAGAGGAGGTATTAGAGAGGTGTTGGTTCCAGTTTCCCCCTTGGTCATTTAGCAGAGATGGGGGAAATTACTGAAAATTTCATTTTTTAGGAGTGGCAAAAGGAAGCATATCTTATTTTTCACACTGGGCCACAACATTCAGGGACAAACCAGAATTAAAAGTACAATCTATGCTCATATTACCCAACTTGCCTTTTTGGGGAGCTAGAAAGGAATTAATATCCCAATTATGTAGCAGCCTTTCCCAGGTCTCACAACTGCTTCCCTTTATCTGTAATCTTCAGAAACTTGCTGTATGACCTTAGGCAAATCACTTGACCTCTTTATCTCTTCTGTAAAACAAGATCCTTAAGGATGTTAGATTGGTGTCGTATAGACTAATAAAAATGATTGGAAGGCACTTGACATATAAAATGTACGGTATAATTCCCAAATAGTAACAACAACAGAGATGGTATGTGACCTACTGTTGAGTCATGCTGGTCAGGAGCCTTTATGCAGATGACATCATCTGTTTTTAAAAAACAAAACTGAAGATGCAAAGTCGCTTTTGGGTCAGGGATAAGGTGTCAAACTTGACTAGTTGAGGAAGGGTTGATTACTTCCAGAATCCCCTTTGTCTTCCATGTTTGCATTGTATGATGTCTAAACCTAGCTGGCTTGCTGACTCATAAAAAGATTTTGATTTTCATTTTCCTTTTTTCCTGAGCATATTTACTGATAGTTTTATTAGCATAAAACTCAGTATTTTATTTGTTTCTGATGTTTTTCCCTTAAAATGTTGCCATGACACTTCAGGCCATGTTAAACTTCACACAAACACCTAAAGCAAATTTGAAATAGTGGAGAAAGCAGACATCTGCATTTCTACATGGCACAGTGAGAAAGCCAGGAACTTAGTGTTCATCGAAGATGGAAAATGTTGAGAACCAGGCTCTCAAAGGGATGTGGCTTTGGCCCTAAACTTTGCTATAGCAGACAGATGTTTGCAGGTGGCCCTGGCTAACCTCACCATCTCTGAGGGACCTGGAGTCAGAGATAATATACACTCAACTGAAATGAGAGGACAGGTAAGAAACTGATGCATATAGAGTGTCATTTATTTGTCAGGCTCTGTGTTATCCCATTTAAAGCTGTCTGAACACGTTTGAGCTAGGTGGTTATTTTAACCAGCTTACAAATGCGAGATTGAGGCAGGGAAAGGTTAGATAACTTGGTCAGAGACAGGCAGTCTTAGGTGGTGATGCTGGCTGGGATTTGTGCCCAGTCTGTCTGACTCCATTGCCCATGGTCTACTGAGAACCACTCTACCTGTGTCAAGTTGCAGGCTTCTCTGAGACTCGTTTCTTGTGTTGCTCTATTGGAGCACACAGATGAACCTTCAGAAGATTATTTTGATAAAGGAAAAGACATCATCTGTTTTCTCCCCTGGATAAAAGATACTGGAGTCATCTCTGGGTTGCCATGTTTCCCTCTGTGGTTGTTTCTGTTCTCATCTACAATGGCCCTTGGTTGTTTGGTTTCCAGTTTAGGCACAAGATTTGCCAAGGCAGTTCTATTCTTGGGAAGGAACAATAGGAACCACAGCAAATTGTTTGCTAAATGAGGATGTAGTTCCCACAACATCCGCAGAGCATCTTCCTGTCAGCTGCAAACCCTGTTGACAAAGTGATGTAATCTCTCCATGGCATAATTACCTGTGACTATAAAAAGACTTGAGGATTGTGGTAGGAGGCTA